CCCCCCCCCCGGGGGGGGGGCGCTGCCGGTGGCGCCGGCCCCCCCCGCCGCCACCACCGTGAAATACTTGGCAGCCCAGCGTCTGGATCTTTGAAGATAACGTTTGCTATTAATAAACAAACAGAAGCAATTACTGGGAGGCAGGGGAGAGGGGAGCGATTGGATTAGGTCAGGATGAGCGCCGGTCTCACTGAAGTCTAAAGTGATGAGCTGCTGCTCTCCACACACAGCAGCGATACCAATCCCTCCTCACTGACCCCTGCAGCCCCACACGGAGATAAGACTTCTCTGCATGTGAAAATATGTGTGTGTGTGTGTGTGTCACTTCACTTGTGTTTGATGGGTATTTCTGTACTGTATCCACGTCAAAAAACAGAAAAAAAAATTATAATGTAACTTGTGTATGTAAAACGTATAAAATTGCCAAGCAGAAAAGACTACGACTGGTTTGTAAGTACGAGCTCAAAAATGACAACAATGACAACCTGATACAACATTTCAAGAAACCAATGTGCCACAAAGTCTGTAATAGACATGCCAAAGATTCCCATAGAATTACACTTACTGAAGGAGACAACAGAAAAGGCATGTACTATTTTACTATACTTTGTATTAGGAAAAAAAAAAACAGCACCGCTGTGCCTTTTGCCTGTGTTAGCAGAACTATCTGCTATTTATTTAGCAGCTAATAGATTGGCTACTGTTAGCCGAGTCATGTTATGTTACATTAAGTTAGGATAAATTGCAATTGCTGCTGTTATAAAGGTGCAAAATATTAGCTGTATTTTTTAATGTTGTACATATTGACCTTTCAAACACATAATACAAACATACCAGAAATAGTTCATTCCACTATGTACAGAACTTCCACCTTTTTAATCAGTATTTGGCTAATGCTCCCATACCACCTAGACCCCTTATCCTGGGGCGGGTTGCATCAGTATGGGTTAAAATCACTATTTGGTCAACAGCAGATATACTACTCCTGATGAAAGGGATGAATCAAAAGTAATTCTTCTTCTATTGGTCTGAAAAGCAGCTTTCACAGAAAGGAAAACATTGTTTCTTGATGATTCACAGGGGCTGCTCTGCTTACCCTGCAGCATAAACTGCTATTTTAACAACTCAGTCTGCAAAAATCAAAGACAAATGAACAAAAATCTAATTGGTTTTGAGGAATAAAAGACAACTAGCATTGACAAACAATGCTGCTAGAATCAAAGGTTTGGCTTGGCATTGAGTTTAGAGCCTTAGTTATGCTTTTGCCGTGACAGATTGGAAAGATTTTGACACTGATGTCATTTAAAGAGAGATTTTATGTTGAATTATACAAAACATATGGCAGTTACAGTTGTGTTTATTTATTTATTTTTAATAATCACTGAGTGATTCTCTTATAATTCCCTGTCATTTTTACCTCAGATTCTCTGCCGCTCACCAAACCTATCAAATCTAAAACGCAGTAATAAATACGTAAAAAAAAAAAAAGAGATGACATTTAATATGTCAAATTGTTAAATAAAAACCAACCGACAAGGTGAACAAAATGATCCACAGTCACCTGTAGCATGTTTAAAAGACACGGAGTGTATAAGTCCGAGCTTTTACAGTGTGTGTTTGGGACAAACACCGCACATAAAATATGAATTATGCAAGAATGATAAATGCTTCATAATAATTCATTTTTTACGCTGCAGGACGGCTTGGTGAAAGTTCTCTCCTCCTCCCACTCCTCCCGCTCCTCCCGCTCCTCCTCCTCTTCTACCTCCACTCCAGCGTGTCACTCAGTCAGGTTTCAGATTAAGTTTTAAGCTGATCTCGTTACGATTCCCTCTGTGGCATCTGGAACTGCTGTCAAAGCTTCCTGAGCACAGCAAGTCCAGCATGCAGTGGGGATGAGTGACACTCACCACCATGTATGATTCCCCTCAGAGACTAGGAATTGTCAATAATTCATCAGGAAGATATACTCTCCTGTATGAACCCAAGATACAGCGCGGAGTGGAAACTCTCTCTCTCTCTCTCTGTCTCCCCCTTCACTCTATCCCCTTTTTCTCTCAGTCTGAAATTACTCTCCTGTATGAACCCAAGATACAGCGCGGAGTGGAAACTCTCTCTCTCTTTCTCTGTCTCCCCCTTCACTCTGTCCCCATTTCTCTCAGTCTGAAATGACTACTCACCCCTCCTCCCCCTCGCTTTCTCTCGCTCTTTTTTCCTCTGTATATTTATATATATATATTGCAACACTTCAATAATTCAAAGTGATATTTAAAAGTGAATGAAATTTTTTTGCCGTACCTTGGGTCATTACGATGCCTGCCAGGGACTTGTGGCGAGCGTGTGCAGGACTGCAGCCGCCGACCAGTGAGCGGTACTTCTCTCTCACTAGGTGGAATATTGAATCGGCGAAATCCTGCAAAACACAGTCACATTCTTTATTCTTACTGACCAGGAAGCGGATGGTGATTTTAAGCTTTATATTTTTCTTCTTCTTCTTCTTCTTTTTTAAGTACAACACCTGCTGTAGCGCAGATCAACTGCGCTGCAATTTTAGAAGGAAATTAGCTGTGCACCTTAAAGACTGGGGATGGTTGTTGAATTATCGTTAAGGATAATTATTTGTATATCATTTTGAAAATAAAACGTATTGCGGTTCCAATGACCTATTATTTTAAAATATTGCCAGGTTATCTTTAAATGAAGAGAGTAAACATTGAGTAAATTACTAAAAAGAAAAACCAAAAAATAAAAACGGCCCAATACCAAATTATCTGTGGACTGGTACTGGTATTGAATTATTTACTGTGTGTGTGAATAATCAAACGTCATAAACTCCATCACAGTTGATTAAGATTTGACAATACAACAAATCAAACAATGACTTCTGTTCTATCACATTAATCCCTTGGTTCCTTCTCGTTCAGGAGACCAGGGAGATTTCAGACTTCAGACAAACAAACACATTTTGTATAAAGTTCTGTACCTTTCAGACTGAGGCTCACGCCAAATGCTCTCATTGGTTGAGCTGTTCGATCACATTCGTTTTGAGCCAACACTGATCAACATCCTAACTCCTGGGACCTGTGGTTTTTCTGCATGTTTACTATGACCCTCTGAGTAAGGAGGAAAAAATATATACATATATACAGTATATATATATATATATATACTGTATATATATATATATATACTGTATATATATATATATATATATATTAAGTGACAGTGGAGTATCTTAAAACAGTATTCCACAGTAATTTAACATAAGCCTTCTTCTTAGTTAACCTTAAAGAAAACTCCCCCTGCTGGACCCTGAACTACGCCGCAACCAGATAAGACGAGACGAAAGCCAGCGTCCCACGTCCTCGTCCCACGTTCTCGTCCCACACTGTCCGTCCTGTCAACGCCCCGTACACCGTTCAACAGACGCATGGGTGGATCGCATTCACTCACCGTGAGCCTTGAACGCTCTTTACTGGAGTGGTAATTAAGGGCTTAGTCTCTAAGCAGTATTGACACCAACCATAGCACATAAGTGGATCACTGGGAGATGGCTCCACGGCGGCAGCAGGGTGGGCTTTCTGTACAGATTGAGCCCGTGGTAGTTAAAAGGACATCAACAGATGCTACAGTGGCAGAGGCACACAGAGGCGGTGAGACAGATTAGGGGCTAAAAAGACACATTGAAGTAGAGAGCCACTAAATTAGTGAGCATATTGCACATTATGGCCCTCGTCAGTCTGGTAAATGCTCTCACAGTTGGGGCCCCGGCGCTGGAGATGCTCACAGCTTGTGCAGGGTAATGGTTAGTGGTGATTCCATGTGCACGCATGACCATGCATGTACTGTTGTAGCCCCAAAGCTGTGTCTGTGTGTGTGTGTGTGTGTGTGAGAAAAGAGGAGAGAAAAAATGATGTGTCGTGGTTGAGTTTTCATTATTCAGCTTTGTTTTTTAGCTTTTGTGCAGAGTTGTTTTCCAAACTTCTGTACAAGGTTTTCCGGCTTGTGTCCAAGTGGTCTACTGCGTCTATTACCACGCTCAAAAGTACTTCAAAAGTATAAATAAAAGCAGAATAATCAACGGTATTACAGTGGACTTGTCGGTTTTAAGACACGCTTCTTCTAGTTTTCCTCTCTAAGGTTGTCAACCACATTGAGCTTCTACAAAACGTTATTTTATAATTTATGGACATTGGGGAAAGACTTTAGTTTGTTTTGTGTGCAAACGCTAGTCTAATGTATTTCTAATGACATGGTTTCAATTAAAATCATAAAGATTTAAAATTTCTATGTTAGCATCTGATATTAATCTTTGTAATTTAGCAGCAATAGTCAGTAGGCTTGTAACATTATAATTAATCATAATATTAAAGTTTTTTTTTCTTAGGTGGGTCACAAGAGATTTGTTTTTTGGGTCGCCTCGCCTCATGTTTCCCAGGAGTTTACGAATAATGTCTATTGACTTGGGTCGCGAGGGTTTGTGACTTTTAAAAAGTTCGGGAAACGCTGGTCTGACAGATACCTCACCATTTTTTGGGCCTCAAAATATTTTAGGATTTACTATCATTTCAGTTTTGATGAGGATACACATATTTGAGGATTTAATTGAATTTCAGATGTTTCCCCTTTAACAGACTTTTTAAATAATTATTGAAATATCGCGTCACTTACATCACTGTCTCCTTTCAGCTACTTCCTGAAGTGAAATTGTTACACCTCCTGATTAGGACCGGGAGCAAAAACCACCTTGTTTGGCAACCACGCTGCCTCACCCTTAGCCGCCAAACGGATCGGCGCGCATGTGAGAAAAAGAAACACTGCCTTGTTCTTTCCACCTGAAAGTGACATCCAATTAATTCCAGCAGAAACCTGCTGGGCTTGGCAGCGTCAGCCGGTGTCGGTCACAGCCTCAACCCGGAGTCACGTCCAAGAAGGCCTTTTTCATAGAAGCCATTACAGAGGTGAATGGAGGTGGCAGATCAAAAAAGCCTTGAAGAGCAAAGGTGGCGCAGTCGTCTGGCAAACGGCCCGGCTTCCTGCGTCTGCTTTACATCTCTCTGTTCTTGTTTCCCACTTTTCTCTTGTCGTTTTATTGAAATCTTACTCTGCAGAATCTTGTAACGTGTCGCTCTTTGTCTACGGTCCTTTATCTTCGTCTTTCATCAACCCTACCTCCTCCTTCCCTGCTCCTCTTTTCTTTTTTAAAACACTGCTAGGGAACCGAAGCGTGCCAGGACTACACCAGCAGTCTGCCAGACCCTGTTGTTCTCTGACCTTGTCACAGGGTGTGTGAAGAAAACCCACTCTGACACACCGTCATTTTCTGATTATCTACACTTTTCACAGGAGGATTCCCCATATTTTCAATCCGTCCTTCTGTGTTGTGTGCTTCCTTCAGTGTTGGTCTAACGTACAGACAAATGGGGAGGGGTCAATCATCTCTCTCTGCAGTCAGATCTACCAGCGCGGCTACATTCAGGAATGTAGTTCTCCAAATCTATTTCAGGTAACTGATGTGAACTGTTCTTGACAGACGATGAAGACAGCCAAATCTATTTCAGGTAACTGATGTGAGCTGTTCTTGACAGACGACGAAGACAAAGAAGAAAAAAAAAAAAAACTCCAGCAGGAAGTGCTCCGTGTGAAAACTGCTGTGGTGGCTGCTTGCGTTACTCGCCCCACCTGGTGTCGTTTCTGCATTAGTTCTGACCAATTTACCAAGCAATTCCTGCGAGCCTCCTCAGGGGACGGAAGGCAGCGCTGGTTTGGTAAATGCTGACTAATTCTGTAGCTGCTGCAGATGCACTGAGGGAGATGGATCACACCGACGCCACGATTAGACCAATAGGAAAGTGGGAGCGAAGTGTCTAAGAGCAACAGTGAAAAAACTAAAGTCACGGACCGACCTCTGACCCCATTTACACTTCAAGGCAATTCAGATTCAAATCCATGATACAAAAAAAAAAGCATCTAAGGAATAAAATCAGATTCAAATCCATGATACAAAAAAAGCATCTAAGGAATAAATTTAAATAATAATGACTTCTGACAGAACAGGTATAAAAGAAGCAAAAGACTATTGTATATAAGCATTGCATGAGGGCCAGAAAACTAGGCTAGGCCACTAGGTGGCATCTGTAGTACAAGGGTTTGATGCAAATAAAAATATATATGAACCCTGAATATATGTGTCTAGAGCAGTGATTCTTAACTATATGCCCCAAATGGGCTGCCAGCGCCACCTAGCACACCGCAAAAAAAACTTTCAGATTTGCACCTGTGGGCCGTGGGCCTGTATGTTTTCATGTATTCAACTGAAGACAGTAAAGATATTCGGGCAACCGATATTATTGGCCAATATTAGCTTAGTTGTGTAATATTGGTAAGAATCGGTATCGGTTTTTCCTCCGATAATGAAAACCCAATAACGTAAGAGCTGGGTTTGACCCAGATGATGAGTTCTGAAGTGAAAGTTAAACTTTTATTTGTATTATGTACAGTATTGTCACTGTGACATTTAACTCAAACGGCTGCACATATCGGTATCGGTTGATATCGGATTCGGAAAATAAGTACTTGGGCAATATCGGCATTATCGGACAAAAGGTTAATTTCAGAACCCTATTCACGACCCTTGGCCCTGGCTGCGCTCTTCGTAGGCACCCCTACGTCCACCACAAATATTGTTATTGGGCCGATTATCACTGTATAGGGAAAACGAAAGCTCCGTTATTTGATTTATTCTTCAGGGTCTTAAAAAGAAATGATCACTCCAGATTCATCACCTCTCGTATTTCTACGACATACAACCTATGAGAGTCGACATATGGCTTTCACCATCTTCACCTGGCGAAACATGACAATATAAAAGTGTGTGTGTGTGTGTGTGTGTGTGCGTATTTCAGCGTGGGTTCATGCGTCACTTACAGTAAAACAAGGAGTGACTGCGGGACTGATTTGACCACACGCGCCGGTGTGTTTCTATCAGAAAAACACGGATACATGCGGGCGTAGCAAATGCACACATTCACACACACCCACGCGCACGCACGCAGAACCCACCCACCTTATCGCGCCACTGCAGAGCGGTCCAGGCAGCATTAAAACTGGGCCGTGTCTTATATTTCTTTATAGAGGTATTTAAAAAATCATTTTCCTGGGTTTTAATAGTATCTGCCTTCTGCCCAGATACCCCACACCCTCCCACCCCCACACCCACACCCCACCCCCAGGACCACCCACCCACCAACCCATCCTATCTCTCGCCTGCTACCAACCCTTAACGCTTTGGAAACAAAATTGAAATCTATTCATGCGGTAGACACATTGTCTCCAGGGTTTTTGATTTATATATTTAAAAAATGGACTCCTCCTTTTGTTTGCTACCCCGTGTGAGATGTCTGAACATGAACA